ATAAATAAGACCCCCACACCATACCCCAAACCCTAGCCGCCTGCCCTCGCCGGAGAAGACGAACCAGAAGCCGGCCGCCGCCGCACCGGAGGGATTTCCGACCGCCGATCGAGGTAAATTTCATACTCCCGACTCGTTTTTCCACGCTGATTTCCCCAGTGGCCAAATCGGCGCCGCCGCGCCCCCCCTGGGTTTTTGGCTCCAATGAGGCCCTTCCCGGCCTCCGTTTAATGCAATTTTTATATCACCGTGATCACCATTCTTTTCTCTACAGGTTGGTCGGAGCCGAATCACCAAAACACGAACTTCACCGGAGAGCCGCCGCACCTGATAGCACCACCGCCGGTAAGCTTCGGTTTTCCGTAAATTTTCGGCCCCCCGAGGGCCCTAGGGTTGTTTTATCGCAGGAACCAATGCGAGTGTGGCCGAATTCGGCCGAAAACGGTCAACCCGAGGCGAACCGCCGCCGCAAGCGGCGGCGCCGTCGCCGAAGCACGGCGGAGCCGCCGTGCCGGAGTTGCGATATTGGCCGAAAGGGGCCCTGGGCCTAATTTGGAATTTTTTTGGAACACGTGCAGGTACCAGTAGTGCGTTTCAGTTCCCCGGAAAAAATTTAGAGAAAATTAGGGACAGCCTGCAAGCGCACTGTGAAGCCGTGTTCGGACCCCGAAACGAGTAAGGACCCCTCACCCTATTTCCTATCACGGTATTAAAGTTCAATAATGATAAAATGGTATTTCTTGAATCAACGAATGTGTGAAATTGCTTAAGGTCGCTAATGGAGCCCGAGTCTAGTGTGTTTGTCGGTTAACTGTTATTTGGCCTGTTTTACAGTTTTAAATGCAGCATGAGGTTCGATGTTTTCATTTTATAGTTTCGTGTGCATATTTTACTGTTTTATTGATTATGGATTGAATGACTGGGATATTGATGCTGTATGTTGTCTGTTTGGCATAAATTATCGTTTTGTTTATTTGTATGTGATTGATAATGCTGACTGAGGGAAAAGGAGAATGAAAGATTATGTAAATGAAAAATTGTATAATGTGGTCAGCCTGACTAGATATCCTGGGAGATGGTGGACGGACCGGGTCCGTAGGGAACCCTACCGGGATTGTGGTCTCCCATACCGAACGGGGTATGAAGATCTTATGTGTTTTGGCGCCCATACCGGACGGGGTATGGGGACGGCCCGTTTCACCCTCATACCGGACGGGGTAATGAGGTTTATAGTTTGGCGCCCATACCGGACGGGGTATGGGGACGGCCCTGGAATATGATTTCAAGTGTTAAGGGTTAACGGGTAGCGGGACCCCTATGGATCCCCATGGATACTAGTGGGCTAGTAAACGAGGAAAAATATGTTGTGTAATGATTGAATTACGAGAGGCTTGATAAGTATTATGTTATACAGTTTATATATGATTTCATGATGATGATGATGTTATTGCTTTCGTATATTGTTTTAATGAATTTCACCGAGGTAAGTGAATGGTAAAGGTTTTATTATTGATAAAAGGATTTGTTGTAAATTATGCTCCATTGGTCTTTTTGTGTTTTCTACCCACTTTTACCTCCGTGACGGTGAGATATCGTGATGTCTTTACTGGGCTAGTGTAGCTCATTCCTTATTTAATCATTTCAGATCAGGAAGACATTGTTCCCGAGCCGGTTCCGCAGGAGGATGACGAAGGGGACGCCTAAAGACTCCATAGTCATATTCGTAGCTTTTACTTTCAAGTTTCTTCTTTAGGTAGTTTAATCTTTTATATTGTGAGCACGTCTTTGGTTTTAGTGTAAGGGATGTTAATCGAATTTTTGACTTCGCTTCCGCATTTGATATTTTTAATATACATTTCATTTTGAATTTCCGGAGCTGTTACAATTTAAGGTAGAAAATGGCACGATATGATAGCATAATTATGACATGATTAGACATGCCCACATATACATACACATATATAGGCAGAATATTATCATAAGCTATTTGAATTTTAAAATTCCATTTAATTTTAGCAACAAAATGATTTAAATTGTATTGATAAATCATAATTTACTATTAATCGTATATGGATTATAAAATATAATAGTAATGGCACAATTGGATCCAAGTTTTGCAATTGATGTAATTTTAATTTAAAATAAGTTTAAACATTTAAATACATTATTTTTATTTACTTATAAGTTTCAATATTAATGCGATTTATTTTAAAATAAGTATTTTTAAATGTTTATAATAATGCAATAAAATTTTTAAAATATTTTATTTTTAAAAGAGCAAAAACTTAATATATGTAGTAATTCAAAGTTTAAAATATTATAAATACTAATTTAATATTTTGACATATATATATATATATAAGACAAAGTAATTTATTATTTTTAAGTTAATTTTTGAATAATTAATCACCCAATTTTTTTAAGAGTGTATCAACCAAATGAATTATCATGCTAATCAAGATTAATAGTTAATATTTACTTAATCAGGATCTATACATAGTGATTTGTACATACACTGTAACTGAATGGTTTAATTTAGCAACTTGAGAATACCCAAAATTTCTATTCAATGTACTTAAAATATTTGTGGGTATGCACATACATTAATCTGCAATTAATCTTAGAAAAAAAGAATCTAGCATTTGTAAGTAATAAAAATAGAAAGGCAAAGACGCGGTTAGGAATCTAAAACAAACGTATATAAATATATATATATATATATACAATTTATATCTAAGTATATGTATATATATTAAGATGCAGATTCATGTCTCTTAATATGTTAATGTATCTGTATACGTCTTCTTTTCTTGGGATAAATTATATGATCTTCTTTAATTAGTTCTTTTGGTGTTAAAAGTTTGGAGTTTTAGTGCAACCACCATCTACCCTATATATTATATGTATCTATATATATATATATATATTATATTATATACATATAAGATAAGTTATTTTTTAGTAGTTAATTTACATGGGACCAATTAAAAGCAATAAGATAAGACCCAAACATCAGCTTCATAGTTGTCAATATTAGATAGATAAATACATTACTTGACTAATTAATTTCTACCCTCTGCACTTGTTAAATACACCTAATATTTCCCTAATAACACCATCTTAATCACAACTCCTCAATTCATAACATTATTTTAAAGTAATAATTTATGTATATATGCATATCAATAATAATACAATAATTTAATAAAATATATGTAATTTAATTTTTTAATAAGAACACATAAAATGCACAATTCAAAATTCAAACTTATGTTTTCTTAGATAAGTATAGAAATATTCACTATTCAACTAAAAAAAATTAAAATTTAATAACATTACTGAATATTATGAACTAAAAGTTGAAAATTTTAATCACGATAATTTTAAAGTATGTTTTTAAATTTTAAACGAGAAGTGAATGATTTTAATTTAGTAAGATAATCAAGTTGGTAGGGGATTTATGTCTCATCTATACTTAAAGATTAAGTTATTCTAAATTTGCTATTTTAGGGTTGGCTAATGATTGTTAAATTAGTTTCACATATTTTAGTTATCTGTATTTAATTTTATAGATAATATTTTATAAATAAAAATTTAAATATACTAAATCGATATAATTTATAATGCTGTTAAATTTATCTAAAAATATTTAATTTTATATTGATTTATCTAACTTAGATTATCTAAAGATCGATTAAAATATTTAAGATATATATCTATAAGTAAAAAAACAATAATTAGTGAATATTATTTATGAATTACACAAGACTAGCTTAAAATTTAAAAAATTTCTATAACCTCAATTTAATTTAAGGATTTAATAATAAGAAATACACTATCTAGAAAAGGTAAAATATAAAATCCTTTTTATTTTTAACAATTTAAATTGAATTTTTTTTTTCAATAAATATATAACTATTTACATGGTCTAAAGAAATATAATTATAAACTTTATATATATATATAAATTATTATTATGCAACGTATGGATCACACCCACAAAATTGGCAGCTCCCATAATTTATCCAACCGAAGGGGTATTTCCGTAATTAAACAAAGTCAAAACTAAACCACCGCACCCTCCTTCCTTCTCGTTCTTATTTCTCTCTCACATATATACAAACACACATATATGTATCTATACTGAGTCGAGAGAAAAACAGAGAGAGAAAATCAAGGAAGAGAGTTTGAAATTTCAACATAGGAAAAATCAGAGAGATGAAATCGGGTCGATGTTTTTCTATTAATTTTCCTAATTTCAGAAACGATTATATTATTCAATATTCAAATTTTCTTCGTCGTCTTCTTCTTCTAGTTTCATGGCTGTTCTGCTTCTCGATAATCGGAACCAAGGCGTTCGAGGTCACCACCATTAATTTCGACGACGGCCTCTCGCCGCTCTTCGGCGACAGCAATCTCGTTCGCTCTCCCGATGCCAGAAGCGTCCGTCTCCTCCTCGATCGATTCACCGGTAATATATTCAATTACATGCGCCTATACATATGTCGCCTACATATATGCATGTATGTATTACAGACATAAACGCTGAACGCATATGTAATTAATTATGAAAGGAGTTATGTATGTGTGTGAATTTACAGGTTCTGGATTTATTTCGTCGAGCATGTATCATCATGGGCTTTTCAGTGCCATGATCAAGCTGCCCTCTGATTATACCGCCGGTATCGTTGTTGCGTTTTATGTAAGTAATCATCAAAAAATATATATATACATGTATATGTTTATCACTATCGTTTTTGGTTCTTGAAAATTCTGTTTAGAAAAATCTATGTAATACATATTAGAGTTTGATATTTCTTGATTGGTTGCCGAGAAATTTTGATAAAAGATAAGCGTTTTCAATCCTCTGTGTGCACATACAGAATTCAAAGAAAAGTAATTAATAAACCAAATTTATGTCATAGTCATGCATAGATTTTTTTTTCTCTTAAAAATTAAATTTTTTATACTATAAGGTAATATATATTAGTTTTAAGAAATTTAAATTTCTATATTAACTGGACCAAGAATAAAGGTAGAACCAAAATATATCGATTTGAAAACTAGGAATTTTATTATTGAATATTGATATATCATATATATATATATATATATATGTGTGTGTTTATATATACATTTGATCTTATTACAGCTTAGGAATCCTATAAGTTTTTCATGGCAGTTTGGCATTATGGTTTTTTATTTCATTTTACATAATTTTTAATTTTTGATATTATTATGTTGTATTTTTCTGTAATTTTCATTTATTTAACTTCAAATTTTTTAAAATAATTATCAGGAATTATAATTTTTTAATGCAGACGTCAAATGGAGATGTATTTGAGAAGACACACGACGAGTTAGACTTTGAATTTTTAGGAAATATAGAAGGAAAGCCGTGGAGATTCCAAACGAACTTGTATGGAAATGGAAGTGTTTCGAGGGGAAGAGAAGAGAGATACCGGCTTTGGTTTGATCCTTCTAAAGAGTTCCATCGGTATAGCATTCTTTGGACGGTCAAGAACATCATGTAAGTAACTTGTTTTTTTTTTCCACAAAATCTTGCTTTATTGTTCTTGTTTACTTTTTATTCGGTTATTATGATAAATTACTATTTTAGTTTTTAGTTTATAAACTATATTTAAATTATATTCACATAGTCTAATTTTTCTATTAAGATTCAGTTCATGGATTTATAGGGTAGATCATAATTCTTTTACTTTTTTTTTATAGAAATTTGTTTTCCCTTTTCGTGAAAATAAAAAAAAAATGAAAATTATTAAATTCTATTAAATTTCAAATTGGATTTGGAAAATAAATCTTTAAGAAATTGTTATTGCAAGAATTTTTTTTTGTCTTATTTCCATTTAAATTATTATAATTTGTATAGTCTAAGTAAAGTAATTCTATGCTAAGTTCATTACATACTCATTTCCTATAATTTTTAAATTTTATTTTCTAAAAAAATATGGACAAGACAAAGAAATTTGGCTATTTATGTGAAAATTTTCATACTTTTGTTTCAAATAAAAACTACATTCAAAGAATTTGTTTCATAAACCTTTAAAAATAAAATCATAATAAAAATTTGACATAATTAATTGTAAGATAACCATAATTACGAGACAAACAAAACTTTACTTAATTTTTTTTTTTAATTTCTCAAATAAATATGTATGTATATGTTGACCTTCTCAATCATTATAAACACATTAAAAAAAAAAAAAGAAAAGACAAAACCTTACTTCATTTTTTTTTGGCATTTATTGTGGATGTTTGAACACACAACATCATGTGGATAAAAACAACCTTAAAAAAGGGAAAGGAGCTTCTTAGGCCATTTTTGTTCTTTCTTTAATTTTTTGGTTTTGGATAGTCTGAAAGATGGCTAAAACCCTAGGTTTTCTCTTTTATTTCTTTTTTGTAAAATAGATAGATTTTATAAATTTGATTAATACATTCTAAATATTTATTAAAAAAATTATAAAAAGCAAAATTAATATATATATATATATATATTCATAACTAGAAACTATAGGGGCAGATATCGGGCAATGGACTCTTCTCCATCCTCACCTTATACTTAAGCAGGTAGAATAATATTCCAACATCTCATCCTATGGGTGAAAAATTTTGCTCCATCCACCATCCTGTCTCATAGTCCCACATATTTAATCTTGTAATTTTGTATAATTACGTAAGTTAATAATTAGTCAAGTCTAATATATATTAAATATCAAACTATAAATTTAATAGACATATAAAAAGACAATGCAACCTAAGAGAGATTGGTGAATTGGGTTTATGAAAAATTTTACAAACTTTTAAGGTTGTGCAGCCATTTAATTTTGAGTTTACAGTAGGTTAGTTCCAAAATAAATTTAGCTCAAATTAAATTAATACAACTCAAAAATAATAACACAAGGAAATTAGGTAAGAGTAAGGGAGAGAAGATGTAAAACACACCTCATAGAGGTTTAACTTTAGTGTATTCCTACATCCTCTTTTTAAGTATAAATTTGAGAGTTTCACTAAATAACCTACTTAAGTGACAAGCTCACCTTTTACAATGCTTGTTATTTTCTGTATCAAACTCATATCTTCCTACACTTTGTTAATTTCGGTGCCAAGCTCACCTCTTACAAGTGTTTCCTCAAAAATCCAAGGAGCACCCACTTCTTTTTCACACCGTTCATATAAAATTAATAAAAGATTAACGTCTAAATCTTTCTCTATCAAATATTTCAAATTTAGGCCTGAAGAGACAAGAAGATTTTTGCTTTTTTTTTTTTTTTTTTTTAACTTTCAATCTTTAAATGCTCAAACGTTGTCATAAATAAAGGGTCTAATGTGAAACTACCTATTAGGCACATGCTAGGGGATTAAGGCATTTAGTGATCTTAAAAATGATCCTTTTTTTCATTTTTTTTCTAAATTCTGCAAACAATAATATTTTTTTTTACTGTGTTGATACTGGACATGTATGATCACACTGCTTAGAAAGAAAATTATTAGGAGTTAATTCCAAAATTTCTTTTTTTTTTTTTTTAAAAGTTCTTTCCAAATATCATTTATGAAGATTTTCGAAAATCATTCAACGATACTTTTTGAGGCATAGACTTGAAATTTTTTTGCATTAGTGAAATTTGAAATTAATACAAGTTATGAACCTTCTCATGTTTTTTATTCGTTCATCATTTTCCTCAAAATTCAAGTGCTCTTTCTTTGATCATTACTTCATATTTTACTTTGCAAAAACTCATAAAAATTTCATTAAAATAAATTAAATATTTACATCACTAAGATCAATGCAAATATTTCAACAATCTGTCCTTTTTTTTTTTATAGATGACAAAACTTAAGTTTAAGTCTCTTCTTTAATAAAAAAAATGAGACAACAAAATGTAAGGAAATAGAAGGCTATAAAAGTATGCTACCCCTTACTTTATGCTCCATTTAAACATTTTATTATTGATCTAGTTTCTTGAATAATCTTTTAACCCATTCAAGTATTCACAAAAAGTTAAATGTACGACATCCAATTCATTAATAGAACTCATGAACAATTTCCATAATGTTTGCTCAGTTATATTGTCAAATACATGAAACAGTCAATAATATTTAAATCAATAATTTCAAGGCAATTTACCATTAAAAGATTTTGCTAAATCCGATGATTTAATTTAAGAGACAAAATTTCTTTTTCATTCCAATCCCTAAGTTTCTCTTCCTTTTTGGCATATCCTTTTTTTTGTCATATTCAATAAATTTTGATTAAGTTCACCAAATTTTCCACTTTATTAATCGATAAAAAAAAGAGACACATGCATGATACTAATGACCTAAAGGGTAACGTGCAATCTTGTTTTGATGTCTTTGTCCCACTTAAAGCTATGCAAGGTAACATATTGATTTTCGTTGATAATTATTAGGCTATCAAATTTGTTAGGATTAAGAAATATATTGGTTTTTACAATGTCGAATATTACTATCATAATTCGTAATAAATATATTTTTATAACTGTCAGTTTATCATCACATCTGAGAGTCAGATGGTATGAGTTAAGATATTTAAGTTAAAGCTACTAGTTAATTAACTTTATGCTTTTGCTTTTGTTGAAGTCAAGAATGTAACTAGGCTAATTTCTTTCTTATAAGACTTGGCTCTTTCATTTAGAATTATCATCTTATCGATAAAATTTGTTAGGTTTATGTTTATTTTGACACTAGGTAGCTTCGTGACTAGGATTTCATTTGATAGTTAGGCTTTCATAAAAGTATCCTTACTAGCCTAGGATAGATCGAGTATATGCTCCCTAGAAAATATTACTAACCTTGAAATTTATCATTTCTTCAATTTTAAAGTTAGACTTAGAGACTAATGATAGGGTTACCTTATGATGAAAGAAACTGTACTTCTCCAGCAACTAACCTCCAAAGATGGTCAATGCTCATTTTGTAACATCTTCGCAAACATCAATTTCATCAAGACTTCATGGTGAGGTAGAGCCAAGAAGAGTGGGTACTTAGGATTAAAAACTTTCGAAGGCCACATATGTAGTCTTGTGGTTGATAGTGCAATAGAATTATATTTCTTCAAAAAGCAAGAAATTACCATGTCCCCCAAAAATCGACAAGTTCCATGGTTGCTCCTCTTATCAGTTTTTTTATGCCATAAAATCAACATTAGTATATTTTATTAAATCTACGAAGCTTTTTCTTAAGTACCAGAAGCCTATAGTTTTGGTATCATTAGGTATTTAAGGATTCCTTTTAACAACATATAGATGTGATTCTTTGTAACTAGATTACAAACATGCACGCATATATACACTAAATATTATCTTCAATCTATTAGCTATAAGATAAAGTAGTGAACCAATTATACACCTATGTAGCATGTTGTCTACTTGTTTACCATTTTCATCTTTGTCAAGCTTTCTAGATATGCTCGTCAAGCACTTGGTCTCATATTTTCTATGTCATATTTCTTTTAAAAGTTTTTGATATATTTATTTTGATTTATGAAGATTCTCTTTTTAACTTGTTTAATATGTAGGCCTATAAAGTAATTTTAGTTCACTTATCATACTCACATTGAATTCAACTTGCATATATTTTTAAGATTCTTGATATATTTTCTCATTTTCACCCCCTAAAGATTATATCATCAGCATAAATTTATATAATTAGAATGTTTTCATGGTTCATCTTTGTGAATTGGGTGTTATCGATTTTTCTCTTGTAACATATTTGTCTAGTAAGAATTTACATATTTGCCTACCATGCTCTAGAGGCTTCCTTGAAACCATATAGAAGTTTAGTGAGTTTATATACATGATTTAGAAATGTTGGTCTATAAACTTATTAAGTTACTCTGCAGGAGCTTCTTCCTCAATATATCTATTTAAAAAGATACTTTTAACATCCATTTAAAAAAGTTTAAAATCTTTTACACAAGCAAAAAAAAAAGTGACATTTTAATTGCCTCCAATAGTTACAGGGACAAAGTCTCATTAAAACCAATTCCTTATTTTTAATTGTACCCCTGCAAGCCTAACTTATTCCTAATTACTATGCCACTTTCGTCCATTTTCCTTGTTTAGCTCATTTAGCACTAATCATAGTTCTATCTTTAGGCCAGGGTATTAAAGTCCATACTTTATTTCTTTTAGATCGATTTAATTCTTCTTCATGTTCTCATATTTTGTTTCTTAAAAATTTTGGGTTCAAAATGATATGAATACAGCAAAGTGGTATCCATTCTTTAAAAATACTTTAGTTTTCACTCTTTCGGTAAGTCGTTATTAATATTCTCTTTTTGATTCATTTTTTATATGTGATCTTTGTTGTTACTCGTTATTGTTTGATGCAATGGGTAAATTTTTTAATGTTCGATTATCTTAGTATATTTGTTATTCATATCTCATTATCACTATCACCTTTATGAATAAATCCATCTAATTTAACGTGGATTGATTTCTCAATAACTGGAGTTTTTTATCGAACATCCTAAAGCCTTTACTAGTTATGGAATATCCTAGAAAAATGACTTCATCAGATTTAACATTAAATTTACCTAAGTTATCTTTATTAACATTTAGAACATGACACCTGCATCTAAAAGCAAGAGAGTAACAAATGCTTAGTTTTTTCCTTCCCATAACTTATATGGTTCTTTTTCAAAATATGGCAAATTAGAGCTATATTCACAATATAGCAAGCAGTATTCATTGTTCCCATCTAAAAGTATCTTGTCAAGTTATTTTCACATATCATTGTTCTCTATTATTCTATTTTTTCTTTCAACGACCCCATTTTTTAGAGAGTTTTAGGACAAGAAAATTATGGTTTATACCATGTTGATAACAAAATATGACAAAAAAATGATCTTCAAATTCCTTTCCATAGTCACTTCTAACGCATGCAATAGTGACCCATTTTTCATCTTGTACCTTTTTGCAAAATTTTGTGAAAACAAGGTAAGCCTTGTCTATATATGCAAAGAAAATCATTCATGAAAATCTAGAATAATCATCAACAATGACTTATAGTGATAACCTCTCATTCATAACCTTGCTGACCCAAACAAATCCATATAAAGAAGTTCTAAGGGCCTTGAGATGGACACCACATTTTTGTATTTGAAAGATTGTTTTGTTTGCTTGTTTAGTTGACAAGTTTTGCAAGTTTAATCTTCTTCAGATTTTATTTTTGAAAGTCGCATTACAAAATCATTTCTAGATAATATAGAGATCATATTGACATTAACATGACCTAGTCTCCTATGCCACAACCAAAAATTATCACATAGGGCAATCAAACAAGTTTCATATACATTATGCACCTAATTAAGACGTATAATATATGCATTCCATGCGTTTACATAGATATATGTACACATCTATATATATATTCCACTTAACTAATATATTTTGACTAATTAACATTTGACCCTAACAACTTAAAAACTTATAAAATTTTGATAGCTACATATAGCTAGCTTAATTTATAAAGCACAAGATTATATTTTCATATATTGTTCTTGAATTTCATTTTTCTTGTACAATAATTAATACAATTAGATTAATTATTGATTTTGATGTGTTGTGTTTTGAATTTCATTTCAGATTTTATGTAGACAATGTTCCAATTAGAGAAGTTGTCCGCAATGAGGCAATGGGTGCTGATTATCCATTAAAGCCAATGTCCTTGTATGCAACAATTTGGGATGCCTCAAGTTGGGCAACCTCAGGTGGAAGATACAAAGTTAATTACAAATATGCCCCATTTGTTTCTGAATTTAAAGATTTCTCCCTGGAAGGTTGCCCGGTCGATTCGAACATTCAAGAATTACCCAATTCTTTTTCGAATTGTTCAGAAAGTGATATTTTTCTCGAGAACCAGGATTACTCTGTGATTACCTCAAAGCAAAGATCCGCAATGCATAGGTTTCGTCAACGTTATATGTATTATTCATATTGTTACGATACATTAAGATATCCTGTACCTCCACCGGAATGTATGATTATTTCGGCTGAAAAAGATAGATTTAAAGACACTGGTAGATTGAAGTTTGGAGGAAGTAATAAAATTAACAAGCTCGGTAGGCAAAAACGTCGGGGTAGACGTCGAGGTAAAAGTCCTATTATTACTAGTGATCCAAACGCATAATATTGTACAATGATTTCTTTATGAATTTTAATAAAGAATTCATTATTTGTTATAATTTTTTAAAATAAAAATTCATTTTCTTAACCTTTATGTTAATATACAGAACTAGTACACAATAATCTGCATATGTGTGTGTGCGCGCTTTTTTTCTTAGTGAATGTTTCGTATATAATTTTTTGTTACTTTCACTTTAATTTCTTACTATTTTCATTTCAAATTTTTTTCAATTCAGTTTTAGTATGTTAGAATTAGAGAATTCATTCCAAAAGTTCTTGTGATTTTTTTTCAGACATTGAATTTTGTATTCAACCTATTATATTAGTCTTTGCTTTGTTATAAACCTATTGCTTGAGGTTATTATTATGACTTTTATTTTTAGTTAATATAGTTAAAGTATAGAAAGATTATTATAGTACTCATGAACATTGACTATATATACAATGAGTGTTAATTATAAAATGTAATATAAATATTCTCTACATAAAAGAGTTCTCCCACTTTATCAAAAATGAGGTAGCTAACAAGGCCCTAACTTAATATATTTGTTCTCTATGTTGATTCTTTTTTAAACCCTTCTTTAATCAAATTAAATTGATCAAGTTAGTAATGAAGCAATTTTGTGAAGCCTCTTATGATTCTATTAATCTTTGACAAATCAAGAATCTATTTCTCTCCAATATGAAGAAAGAGATAATTGAATGTTGCAAAATCTTAATGATTAAAAATTTTGATCAAGTGTCTCAATTTTGATTTGAGAAAATGATTAACTTTGTTAATAGTAGGGGTAACTGAGTGGCAAATAGAACTTTTTTACTCAAAAGGAAGGGCCACCCTCCATAACTTAGCACAATATATAGATTGTTAGCATTTCTCGATTGATTTATGATGCTAGAATAAAATCATCTACAATTTTAGGGTTAATACGAAGGGAAGAGGAAATTAACATCTTATAAATTTAGATACAACAAGTTTAGATAATCGATATGGAGGACTGAAAACTTGATCGATGTATTTGACAATGATGCCCCCTTCACCTATCAAGACTGTAAAGTTTGTCAATAAAGATAATAGTATTTGAGTAAAGATTTCGTAGACGGAATATTTAGGAATAAAGATTTTATTGGATGCATAAGATGAAAAAGAGTCAATTACTTGGAAGAACATCCTCAAGTCTAAGGATGCACTTCGCATAACACCATCTAAATTTAAAGGTGATAGTCTCTTTGACATCAAAATTGGTTGGGAAGGAAAGAATTCATCAATTGTTTAAGAGGAAGTGTCGTAGAGAATGAGAAAAGCCTCATGATTGATGACATCATAAATAAGGATGGGCTTTGAAAAGTCACATAAAACCCTATATTCGCAACTTGATCTTGAATGAAATATGTCTTATCTCTATCTAAATGAACTTGAACAAACAATATGGTCACTTGGGGTCTCAGTATTCATTTCAAGTCATCAAATAAACCTATAATTATCTAATCCAAGATATCAATTAATTGCTGAATGACTAGACCTAGTTATGGAAAATGAACTATTCCAACAAAGTGACAAACTTCTCATATCTCTACTTACATGAGAAGCTCCTAATTAACCTTTTTAGATTCTACAAGTGTTGTTCAAAAATACTAAGCTATTTGAGATGCAATGCCCATAAAGAGTTAGTTTACATTAATTATAATTTAATTCTGATAATTTACTAGGCTTCTTTCCTTTCGAATATGCGTTGACTTTCACTTAATTTTTTAAAATAGCAAAAATTAATTTAGGTTGGATTATGAAACACTTAAAAATGTGATAAGTTACGATAAGTTATGTTTATTAAAGATTAGTAAAATATTCTTTCGAAAATATTTTGTAAAATTTTTCTTGAAAGTTATTGGTGAATATAACAAGATTAGAATTAGAATTAGAATTAGAATTAGATTGGTATTGTTAAATTTGCTTATAAGTCTAGATTTCGAATTTAAAGAGAGAGAGAGAGAAGTTTTCTTAATTTTGAGCGAGTCTATAATAATATCCTAAATTGGTTGAGTTTGGGTTTCTCTTTATATTAATACTTACTTTCCTTATTTTTATCTTTCTGTTCGGATAAATAAAAATAATATATGCTTTTTAGTTTATTTTCACTCATCATAACTTGTCTAAATATGCTTTGAAGAAAGCTTTTTTTTTTTAAGTTTTTGGTGTGTAGATATGAAAATGTAATTACTTGTGATTCATAATTTTTTTTTAAAGTGCATGTGATTCATAATTATTCTAATTTACTTGACATTTGTAATTAGTCTATTCAATAGTATAAAAAATAAAAAAAAAATGAAAATTACTAAAGAAAAATAGGAGAAAAATGTAACGGTCTAGAACTTAAAAGAAAATAAAGATAGGAATTGAATGCGGAAGTGGAATAATAGAGTTAGAGTTTACATTCTTTACACAATAGTTTAAAATACCCAATAGGGTTACGAGAATGTCTCTTCTAAAAGAACAAATAAAAATCAAAGAAATAAACAAAAAATAAAAAACTGGGCATCTTAGGACGACCTTCACTAGTACTTGAAGAAGTCTAGGTAGTGAATTATTCACAACCCTCTTGTTGATCGGGATCTAGATCTTGATCTTCTTGATTTGAAATAGTTAATGAAAGGGTGAGCTACACTAGTACAGTAAGAATATTACACTACTCACTAATCAATTAACTATTTCAGAATATCATCATATATTTAAAGCTGTAAATTCAACCATCAGTTAAACAGGACAATAATTAAATGACTAACCGGTTTCCGACTCTATTGGTAACTATAATTATTCTCAAAGTCTTATAATGTATACAAAATACCATATTACCGATTATTAAGCTTCAATTCTATAACAGAGAATAAGGTGATAGATTTTTACCCGAATCAGTGTCATAAATATATAACTTTCTACTGTGCCTACTAACAATCTTCAGGTTTCCTGAATTTTTCTGTTGAGATTAAAACACATTTTACGTACCTAAAAATAGACCAAAAAATCTAAAATCAGTGTTAAAAATCTTTTCCAGCCAATTTCAGAATTTTGGCACGGCGGCACCACCGTGCTCTGGTGACAGTACTACCATTCGCAGCGACGATTTACCTCGGACTGGTCATTTTCGGCCAGTTTTGGCCAGTTCAGCCGATTTTATACACATCAATGCGAGAAAACACGTTAGGGGGCCTCGGTTGACCCAAAAAAAAGTCAAAAAATAAAAATCTACCGAACACAGAATTTTTTAGTGCGGCGGCTCCGTCGGCTCACCTTCACAGCTGGACGTTTTTCTTCGGTCAACTTGTAGAAAACAGAATGGTGAACACAATGATGAAAAAATTGCACAAAACGAGAAATGGGAATGGGCTCATAGGAGGCAGTTTCAAGTTTTGCCCGCAGCGGCACCGCCAGACTTTGCCCATAATTTTCTGTTCATTCGTTGTTCCTTTTGCTCTGATTTGGCCATGGAGGTGCTCAGAATCAAATTTCGAGGGGATATGACAATTTTTACCTTTTTTGGTGGTTAGAGGTGGCTCCGGAGCAACGGCGGGCAGCAGTCGGCTCTTTTCTCCAATGACTGGTTCTTTTTCTTCGGCGGAAGTCTAGCAGTTAGGGTTTGGGTTCAGTGTGATGCAAGATATTTATATCACTCTCCCTTAAATCTGGACCGTTCATCGCGTTTGACTTCGACCGTCCGATCATATTTAAAAAAGAAATGAATTTGAACCATTTATAGCTATTTAATCTCGACCGTACGATCACGTTTAAAGAGAAAATTAATCTAAACCGTTCATTACGTTTGATCGTGACCGTCCAATCGCAAATGAGGAGGGAACGGATCCGAACTATCCGCGCGGGAACGCATCCGAGCCGTCTAATTGCGGACACGCAGATTGCAAGCGTGGCCTCCCATGTGGCACTGAGTCAGCGTGCCTTGCCACGGGCCGCGCTTTGGTTCGCTAGGGCTACTGACTGAAAGTTCTACGTAGTGCAATTTTCTTTAATTGTATTTTGACCTCCAGTTTCTTATTTTTCTTTTAAAAATACCATGCGAACCCAAATTTCCACCTTTCTTTTCCAAAATTATTTTCAATTTCATCCTCAACCTATTTTTTTTCCTAATTTCATATTAAATAAAAATTTATAAATTTATAAATTATATTTTTATATTTTTATATTTTTTTAATTTTAAAATTAATCTCGGGCCAAATTCTAGGCCCAAGTATTACAACTCTCCCCCCTTAAGAGAAATTTGGTTCCTCAAATTTATCTCTCTCACTCAATCAAAGAGTTGGGGATACTGGGCTCTGAAATCTTATTCTAGCTCCCATGTGGCCTCTCTGTGTGTGTGATTCTGCCATAGGACCTTAACAAATAGAATTTTTCAGTTGCAGAGTACTCTACTCTTTCGGTCCACAATACCCACCAGTACCTCTTCATATGACAGATTCTCTTGGAGTGAAAGGGGCTCGTGGGCCAAGATGTGATAGGGATCCAGGTTGTACTTGCGTAGCATGGACACATGAGACACATTATAGACCTTAGATAGTTCTGGAGGTAGTGTCAGTCCCTAGGTGGCGGTACTAATTTTGTCTAAAATTTCAAATGGCCCAATAAATTGAGGATTTAGTTTTTCCCTCTTGCCAAACCTACTAATTTTCTTGAAATGAGTGACCTTAAGGAACACTCAATCACATTTGTCAAATTTCAAATCCCTCCTCCGGGTGTCCGCATAACTCTTCCGCCTACTCTGAGTCGTCTTGATGTTCTTCCTGATCTTAACTATTTTGGCTGTAGTCTTCTCCAAGCTTATGTTCTTGACTTCGGGAGCCATTGGGATGATCATTTATCCTTAATAGAGTTCGCCTACAATAACAGCTACTAAGTAAGTATCGGCATGGCTCTGTACGATGCGTTATATGGCCGTCCAAGATCGATGACCTTTTTGATCAATTGCAGGATGCCCAAGTCTTCTCCAAAATAGACTTGCGTTCAGGTTACCATCAAGTAAAGATCAAGGCAGAAGGCATTCCCAAAACAGCTTTT